TTTTTTAAGATATGGATAAAATTTTGGATTGTATCAATTTATTTAGGCTGTTCACTAAAAATAAAGGTTTTAGTTGAAAGAGGAGACAAAAAGTGAAAGTATTGCCGCTTTTTGATCAACAGTAACATATCGTAAACATCCTGGCGCACGTGTTTGACTTCATTGTTTGGATATTTACTTTCAATCAGTGGGTGTTGATAGTGGTAGCGGGGGATTAGAGGGGAAAAACGAATTAAAACCGCTCGGATAAATATTGAAATACAAAGTTCTGTGGATCTAATGCGGTTCGAATGCATGGTACCAGGAAAACCTGAAGTTACATGCAGAACATTGGAGAGGGAAGAGTATATCACCCTATGAGTGATTGTTGCATTCACGGGTGATGGGAGTTTGGACTTCGTACAAAAAAATAGAGGCAAACGCAAAATCGAAGGCTTATATTGGGCAAAATAACCGAAAGAAAGCATTGAGGTACAGAAAACCAAAAGGAACAAATATAAAGTCCGAAAGTTATACAAAGGTATCTCTTAAATGTAGTGGAGTACTGCTTAACTTGGCTCCACCAGGCTTAGACTGTCGGTTCCCGTAACCTTATAACCGATCTTATCAGACCATAATGCTTGAAATAGTGTGTATGCACAGTTGGACTGTGTACTCTATGTTGACCACAGGGGTTCGCTTTCTTTCCCGTCCCCCAAAATAGACTTGTTCCCTATCCTGTTTACTCATTTTCATTTAGCTTGTATGCATTATTTGTTTGGCAGCGATGAATGATGTTCGCCCATGTGACATACAATTAACGTGTAGTCGAAATGCATTAATATGGCCTCGGGCATTCAAATTACAAATCGGAAAGTTGGGCGACGGTTAAGTAAATCGAACGCATGAACGGTCTATAGCACTCGACCATCTCCGTTTTTGATTCGGGACAGTGTACATTGAACCTAACTACTGCTTGATGTTTCCCTCGAAAAAATCTGGGGCATCCAGTGCCTTGACGATTGCATTCATATTTTATGTACAACTGTAATCCCTTCACTTTTGTATGTGCAAACCTTGAGTTTATTCTGTATGTCATACAAATCAACATCTCTTGCGTCAGAGACTCAGGAAAGTGAGTCCAGTCCCTGAAACTTTCTACGTCCATTATCCGTCTTCTTTCAATAGTATGATCAAGGGAACTCAGTGGTTTCAACTATTAAGGGCTTATTTTATACGCTTCAGCCACTGCTGTGGGGAGCACGAACATACGCGGAGTTTCATCGTCTGCAGTGATCGGCCCAAGCGGAGCAACCATCATCCCAAGGCCACTTTCCTTACGTTCTGATTGGCCTGCTACGGCTAGAGGATTGTCTGGCAGCGCATCCCCAGCTTTCGACCAGAACTTTTTACCGCCTCCTGCTCCAGCCCACCTACAATTGCCTGCACTTCCCGAACCGCACACGTTCATGCAAACGTGGGTCAAACGTCCTCCTGTCGCTTCTGATCCTGCTTCCTTGCGCCGGCGTCTGTCCGAACAACGACGGAAAGTTCAGCAATCGTTCATACATTTTCTAGCCCGAATTCATTCGGTCCAGTACCTGTTTCCTGGTGATCCCGAATCATTCATGTGTAAGTCTTCTTCCACTAATTCACTATCGATCGTCAGCTTCCAGTAGTATAGTCCGTCAGACGTTGTATCATGTAGTGGTAAGATCGATCCTGACTCTGGGACCTACTGGACTCGCCTAATGGTAGTGCGTGTGTATCATCGTTGTATTGCTAACGATTCTTAAAAAATTGGATTACCTGATAAAGTACTTCCTAAACACATCATATCCTCTCAAACAGGCAAATTTATTATCGCAATTAATCCACGAATGCGTAGTTTCTAATGACTTAAATTTTGATTGTATGGGTGGTGCTACAGTCATTTTTTTCAAGGAGAAAAGTCCTATTGATCAAAGACTACCTGGAAACAGTGAATGTTCCTGCTGACTGGCCCATTTTCTTTAGATAACAACTTTTTTTAAAATTATTTGAACGATATGTTTACAATAAATGTTTTTTACAACACCGTCACCTTGCCACTGGAACGTATCACTCATCATATTATAGAGTGTACTCAATAAACTCCAAAATGGTAGCATTGAATAGAAGACCGACAAAACCGTGCTATTTGGAGTACGTTGATAAAATCATCTTTCTGTTTAAATGTAAAGAGGATGAGCAAAGCGATCTTGACAGACTAACACTTTCATGTGCTCCATTCGATATGAGCTTTTCACCTTCAAAATGCAATGTAGTGCCCAGTGTGCTTTAACGCTCGATGGTCAGATATATATCTATATTTACCACCGGCTTGTAGACAAGCATGGTGCCGACGCAACAACAACAATAATAACAATAACAATAAAATGGGATGGGTGGATTGATGTACTGAACAGAGTGAAAAGGGGGTGAAACAGTTAAACACGGGGAAGTGGAAGATAACTGGGATAAAAAAATTGTTGTGTTTCACCGTACACCTTTTTATATTTGTTTTTTACGGGATTTCGACAGGCAGACCGTACAGTATTCGCGCCACTGACTTCTATTCTGTGCTATATCACTCAGTGTCTCTAACCAACGACAATCCTCATCCCTTGGGCCCCAACCTGGAAGGCGGGCTGCACCAACTGAAATCTGCTTCTTCATGCCTCTAGCCCATGTCATGGTCTGGCCGCCGCGCCGCTTCTTCCAGCCTTGCCCGGCACGTGCGAAGAGAGCACGTAACGGTGGTCGATGGGCAAGCATACGTGACGAAGCCGTCGGAAACAGTGCAAAACGATTACTTCTGTTAGAGAACGACTATCCGCACCCAACACACGACGATGAACCTCGTCATTACTCAATTGGTTTTCCCGCCAGACACGAGCAATGCTTCGGAGACATCGGTGGCCGAATACAGAAAGTTGATTAGCATCCTCAACGCGGAGGGGTCAGGTTTCGCAACCGTAAAGGAGTACGCTATGAACCGCAGCGATGTACATCCTTCCCTTAAGGGACAGTCGGATGTCATGGTGGTGCCACAGATGTCGCAGGTTGGTGAAAGCTGCCCTAACTTTCACTGTTATTGATGTGATCGCCTCCCCAACACCCTCCACCAGCTGCGATCAAGCTGCCGATGTACTTAAAGCTCTCAACTACTTCCAGCTGATCAACACCGAGGGTGAGTGCAGACACAGACTTCTGCCAGTCTTGAACAAGCACTTTGCACTTTGATGGAGCAAAGCACACCATACCCGGACACCTCTATCGTCAAGCGGTTCAAAGCGTTTTGGACTGCCTGTGTGTTGTCATCAAGCAAGGCGATGTCATCGACATATTCCATATCAAGAACTCTGTTCCTTGGGAGGAGTTCGACTCCACCGTTTGCTAGACCGGACAAAGCATCTTGTAGAACATCCTCTGTGGCGAATTTGAAAAGAAATGAGGATATAGGGCAGCCTTGCCGAACTCCACTACAGACGACGAACGGTGGCGAAAGTTGGCTATAGACCCTAACCCGACCTGAGGTATGACGATACAACTCTGAGGATCGACATACACTTCTCAGGTACTCCATTCCTAGTGGGAAAGTCGAAGGCCGCGCGGATGTCTAAGAATACAGTATTCTTTGATAGGCATGACGGTGATCTTGTAGCCGTCAGAGGGTGAAGATTTGATCGATGCATCCCCAACCAGCGCGAAATCTAACCTGCTCCTCACGCATAGTATACAATCGGCAGAGAATGACGGACGCCAACAGCTTTGACGCTATTAGGATTAGGCTTATACCCCTATGATTGGCGCAGTCACTGCGCGGGCCCTTTTTAAAGATGGGGACGACAATCGATTCCCCCCATGAGTAGCGGACCTGCTCAGTGTTCCGAACTTTAGAGAACAGAACTTATAGTCCTCTTACAACCTCAGTTTAACCACCTTTAGATAAAACAGGGGGAAGGCCATAGGTGTCCGGCGCTTAGTGACGTCTCAAGGCTTGGATTTCCTTACGGATTTCTGCCTCAGAAAGTGGGTCTGTTGTAACAGACCGTGTGATGTGTGCCGGAATAGCTGTGTGAAGAGCCGACGTCGGTGGCCAGCCAAATCGTGCCGCCCAGCGTGCAAGACGTCGCTGTTGATTGTGAATGGGCGAGCCTTCAGCTTTGCAGATCGTTTCGTTCACACCCAAGGCTTTCCTGCCGGTGACCCGGATGAGATGGAACAGCTTACGGGAATTACCGTTGGCGGCAGCACGTTCCACCTCTAGCACGCGTTGAGTCCACCAGATCTCGCGGTCTCTGTGTAGGCTTGCATTAAGTTCACGTCTCGTTACGAGTCGTGTTTCATTATGCTCTCTGCCGGTCGGAACAGACCGACGTGCATCAAGAAGGCGTTGAGACTCCGCAGAGATTCAGGGTGTCACGGCGCGACGTGTCAGACCACAACTAACTAAGCCAGCAGAATGCAGAGCATTCTTGATAAGCGACCAGTGCCGGCGGGGTTGGTACCAGCTTTGCAGCTAGTGCGTTTTAGAAGACAGTTAGACAAGCTGGTTTGGTCAGTCTACCCGTCGTTGTTTCGTGCGTTTGGGACGCCCATCGAAGCACATGGACAGCTTAGCGCATACTGATGCGTGGTCGGATTCGAGGGGAGTGCTCCGGTACGATCGGAAGTCCTGAATGTTGCCCCGCCATTTGCGGCTTATCGCGATGTGGTCGATCTGCGTCCGTCTCTGACTCGAGGAGGGCGGGCGCTAAGTGGCGTACCGGCAGTTGGAGCGTCTGAAGTTCGGACTGGCGAGGGACAGGCGGTGGTTGGAACACAAAGCCAATAGCCGCTCCCCGTTTTCCGTGCTACAGAAATCTAGTCCGAAAGGACCTCCCAGGTGCGCCTCACTCAAAGTCAACCTGCCTACTCTAGCATTCATATCTCCTGCTAAAATCACGATATCGGCCCGAGTTACTTTACGCAACAGGTCGTGTAGATTGTCGTAAAATTCATCTTTGACTGCATTTGGGCTGCAGTCTGTTGGAGCGTACGCCGATAAGACAAACAAGTTTCGTCTATTGTGGCGACGGCCGCTTACCTTGCACGAACCTCTGAGTCTCACTGCGCACAACCTACTGTCGACTGGGATCCCATCCAGGAGCGCCGCCTCAGCTCTCTCACTGAGAGCTACGCCGACGCCAACAAGACCGGAAGCCGCAGCCTCAGGGTCCCCAGAGAGGCATAAGTGAAACTACACAGATTGGTTAGATGGGGACGTCAATCGGATAATGGAGCTGGAGTCTTGAATACTAGTATCTTCGGTACAACATACATCGATGGCTAGGGTTTTGAGCGTACGAGCTAAACACACCTGTTGTTCTATACGCATCAGAGTACGCACATTAAACGTGGCTAGTTTGAAAGGACGTCGAGGGCGGAGAAGGGCCTCAGCTGGTGGAGGATTCGGTGAGACTTGGACAGCAGGCGACTTAGGACAAGAGCGAAGAGCGGCAGAATTTCCGCCCGAGGCACTACTGCTAGTACGATTGTCTGAAGTACCCGAGAGAGCTG